ATATATTATTTACCACTTCTCTTGATTTTGTTCTATGCAGCAAGCTTTTTTTTCTATTATTTTATTTTATTATTTTATTTTTTATTTTGTTATCATTAATCTACAATTACATGAAGAACATTATGTTTACTAGGTTCTCCCAATCACCAAGTCCCCCCCACATACCCCATTACAGTCACTGTCTATCAGTGTAGTAAGATGCTGTAGACTCACTACTTGTCTTCTCTGTGTTGTACAGCCCTCCTCGTGCACCCCCCCTACATTATATCTGCTAACAGTAATGCCCTTTTATTTTTCCCCTTATCCCTCCCTTCCCACCCAGTCCCTTTCCCTTTGATAACTGTTAGTCCATTCGTGGGTGCTGTGAGTCTGCTGATGTTTTGTTCCTTCAGTTTTTTTCTTTGTTCTTATGCTCCACAGATGAGTGAAATCATTTGATACTTGTCTTTCTCTGCCTGGCTTATTTCACTGAGCATAATACCCTCTAGTTCCATCCATGTTGTTGCAAATGGTAGGATTTGTTTTCTTCTTATGGCTGAATAATATTGTAGCAAGCTTTTATTTATTAATTTGCTTTCTCTGTATTAATGCAGCTGAGTTTAGCCTGACTGTCCCATTTCATTTAACAGCTTCATTTCCTAAAGGCTTTTGTCAGGCCAGAAATCTCTGTGTATGGTTTCTGAGACTGATGCCAGCTCAGTTCTGGGAAAATTGTTTTTAATTACTGCTGGCTCTGAAATGGCCAGAGAAGCACCAATATCTGGTATTTAGTTATTGCACAACATGATTACTCTGAATAAATAACCTCTTATATTTTCCAAATGGGACCAAGGAAGATATATCTATTCAACTAAAGGTAAGTGGAAGGTTATGAAACAATCTACTAATTTGGGAACTGTCCTCAGTGGCTTTTGGGGACTATACTCTCAGCCATGAGAGACAGCAACATAGAGCACAAAGCAGGTGCTCAACAAGTCATCATAGGTTAATGAGTGGTATTTACTGAGGTAGACTTGTTTCTCTGGAGGTGTTCTCCAAAGCTCTTGTGTGGGATGAATCCCACTCTAGATTCTATTTCCAGTGCTGCTATTTTTTCTACCACTATGACCTTCAGTGTCTTTATCTAGAAAATAAGAACCCTTCCTCATCTCATGAAATTATTCAAAGAACAATGAAAACACACATGTGACATGTTTTATAAACTACTAGGTGCTAAGTGAAGCAACAACTCAGTCTTGGAGTGGCCAGAAAACATATCCCTGATCCACATACAACTCTGGAGGAGTCCAGAGGCTTCTATAATACAGTACCCTAACAGCCTATGAAGTCTTAGGGAGCTGATGCCTCAGACACATACCTTCTGAGAGGCCCAAATATCCCAAGTTCTCTTGGGCCAGCAGCTGGAGGACTCTTATTAAGCAGCAGACAAGTTCTATTATAAAATTGAGGGCTTCCTTGAGAACTTCATAGTTTCTTTAAGAGGTTAGGGCTGGGCCCAGTGATGCCTCTAACCTGTTACACTCAACCAGTTCCCTCCTTAAAGCTCATTATGTCCTTCTGTGCCTCCTAAGCTATCTGTACCAGACAGCATCAAAGATCACTGGAAGATCTCTCCATCAGAGGATGCCTTTCTGGAAGCATGCAGAGCCAACAAGGCCTCTGAATCATCTGGAACTATGTTGAATGTTGTTAGTTTCTCAGAACAGGAGGTCATTTTCAGTTGGTCACTCACCACATTTGATTAGTCAACAGCAAGGTCTCCAGGAAGAAACCATAGTATCATTTTACCAGTTCCTAAAATTTCCCTTGGATCCTTATCTACATTCTGGATATGGCAGGTAAAAAAAGTACTCCTGACCTAACCTTTGTGATGGTCCATATCTAACTCTGACTTAACAATCTTTCATTATTTATTAAATTTGAAAGTAAAAGTAAGTTATATGTAAAAGAGCCAATGATGGGCCCCAAGTTTGTCCAATACTGTAACTGCTGCTACTTTACCTCACAGAGAGGTTGGTCTTGTTGGCATTGTTGTTTAACTTCTCAGTCCTTCACAGTTTCTTAATCCAAAAAATTATTCTTTCCTTTTGATGCTATATCATTGATACATCTTATGGCTGAAAGGATTGAAATAGATTCCCACTTTTTGGAAAAAGTGCGTAATTTGTTTCAGAATCCATTCATTTCTTTTAGCTCATGGAGTTGTAATTGCCTTTCTATGTATTGTGCACATTTTCCAGCCTGTGAGGGGCTGAGCACAGGTGAGAGGGCCAGGTCCTCTCAGAAACACCTTGAGAGCAGAGCAGTAATGGAGAAGCCACAATAGAAGCTTCCCTAAGCCCATGTTCCAAAAATGGCATCTTTTCAACAACCTTTAAGGTAACACATTGACTTGGTAATTGTCAAGACCAGGATGAAAAGATGTAGAAGCAAGACTGTTGCTTTGCTTCCCAATCAAGGGATCCTCACCTCCCTGAGCTGGATATGTGCCTGTTGAGGATGATCTTGAAGGGGTCTGACTTCCAGCCATTATGAATACTTAACTGAAATCTTACTCCCAGCATCTTACACCAACACATCCTACTTTATTCCCTGGGACCATGCAGAACAAGCCCAATCCTTCCAGTGAGCCATCTTTTAACCTAGTGTTGACCATGGGCTCAAGTCCGATTGCCCACATCTTCTTCAAACTTCTATTATAAAACAGATACCTCTTCACATAGACTTTAGGTGTCCCTATTCTACTCTATTTTTTTCATTACACTTACTATCATCTGACATTTTTGTTTATTGTCTGTCCTTTCCTCCAGGCCCACTATAATGTAAGCTTCATAAGGGCAAGCTTCTTTTTTTTCATTTGAACAGTACCTGGTTGGGGGTTTGAACAATACTCTCTGGTCTCACACCCTTAGTGATGAGTGAGACTCCTGCTCTATCCCACTACACCCTCAGAAGGAAAGAAAGCCTTTTTACCACTAGTTTTAACAGAAGTTGGAGAATTGAGTCTCATTGGCCTGGCCAGTGTCCTGAGTCTGACCCCAACCAATCACTGTGGCCAAAGGTGGGCTACATTGGTTGGCCACTTCTGGTCATATGCCAGCTGGAGTAGGGTTTGACTCTTCTAGAACCACGTAGCTGGAAGTCGGGAAGGGGTGGTTCCTGGAAGGACAATCAAGTACTGCTACTAGAAGAAGGAAGGAAGGAGTGCAGGGCAGGCAAAAAGGACAGACTGAGAAATGCACATTAAGAATGTCTGTCTGTCGAGAACTATACATGGATTATCTCATTTAATTTGTACCACAACCCATCAAGGTAAAAATGGATGACATTTTAGAGAGGAGAAAGCAGACTGAAGTTAAGAAGCTAGAGGTTATGATCTGAGTCTCAAATCCAGGCCTAGTAAGCTCTAGAACAGAGCCCAAGTATGCCATCTTCTCTATTCACCCTCACCATTCAGGTTTGATTCATTTAACTCCTTCAATCAATCCCTGTGGATTATTGTGATTGGCTCTGTGCTTCTCTACCCACACAGTATTTCTAAATAACCATTCAGCACTCCATCTCAGTCAGGCTCTGTTCCTGTGTCTGTCTTTGCTACATTCTCCTGACCAGTTTGTCCCTTAGCATCTCTCCACTTCTTCAGGTCTCTCCATTAGACTGAGGCTCACCTTCGCTTCCATTTCTTCCATGACTTCCAGTAAGCTTTCCCTGATGATTCAACACAACGGTCCTTGTGAACTCTGAAATTCACTGATTATTCTCTGGGCCATTCATGGGATTGGGGATGAAAAGGAATAGGGAACAAATTTATCCTTGTAAAGATTTTCAGGTGGGTAGAACCTGGAGAAGAGGACTGAAAAAGCTGGGGTACAAACCCACCTTGACCCTCAGTTAGGGTGAAATCCTAACACAGCCACGTTTTTGTGCAGCTGAAAGGTTCCATTTTCCAGAGTGTCAGTTAACAAGTTGAGGACAAAGACTCTGACAAGAAGTTTTGAAGATCTGTCCTATGACATAGAAGAGCCTGGGACATAGGAAATGCTCTATCAATATATGTTGAATAAATATCATGAATCTTTTGTGTCCCAGTGTATTTTCCACAGTGCTTGCTGAGTTGACTTAAATATATCTTACAAATCCAGGTTATTTAAAAAAAAATAAACCTGACACTGCTAAACACAAGAGCCTTACCCTTACACACCACATTCCATAAACTTCTAGTTCCCTTCTGTGGGGAATTTGGGGTTCCTAATGCCAGGATCCTCACTGAACTTAAACCACCTGATGATGTAAGTGGCCTATTGCTCAGCTACCGCTTCCATACCTTTAGGCAATAAGCTATTATTGCACTATGTAGAGAGCTCGGCCCAGTGCTCTGGGCGGACGCAGAGATGCTAGTGCTTAACCTACCGCTGGAGAACAAGCCGGGTAATAAACCCTTTCACCCCAAAGAATGTTTTGCTGTCAATTTCTTTGGTCACATTGAATCCATAGCGAACTTGCCCGGGGCTGAAATCCATTGGCAAGACACCTTCCTTTAGTGCCTTGTGTAAAAAACTCACACAATACTTCCATCAGAACTTGCTCAGCTCTTGCAGGCAGGTAATTGCTTCTTCAGTAACTTAAAGGCAGGTAACCTGCCTGTGGTAGCGCCTATCATTTGGGATAGGTAGTAATGTTTCGTCTCATATGCTGGATTCTGAGCACCTAGAACTCGGCTGTTTTATCACCTCTTCCTCAAACCAAGCGGTTATTCACACAAGGTAGTTACAATGAAAATGTCTGTGCACATGGTTCGGGCAAATGATTTGTATTATATTTGTAGAGTACATTAAAAAATCCACCTATTAAATCTTTTTATATCACATCAACTCCGTACATAAGATTAAGATCGCCAATTTACTAAGGAAACTGACTCAGAAGGACAAGCCCTTGTCCAAAACTACACTGGAGAGCAGCTAATCTGCTGTACTCTAGCTGTCAACGGCGGTAGGCGTGCCGAACTCTTTTGAACTCTCTCCGCCACCGTCGCCGAGTCCTCAGGGCTTCCTCTCTTTCTACGCCTGCGCGCTGCCCGAGGCCGTCCATTTCCGCGTAGGTTAGGAGGGTCGTTGGTGTCGGGGTGAGTGAGGTTGCTCCGTGAGTTCTTCGTTCAGGTTCCCATAGTTGCTTCCCGCCGCCTGCTCTGGGAGTCGAGTCGTGACTCGCTCTTGCGGCCGGGGAGCTGAACACCTTTGCTTCGGCTGTCTCCAACGCGCGCCCACCGCGGCCTGAGGGCGGCGGGCGGCCGACGGGGACCCGCGGGGGCGCGGTGGGCTGCCGGGGGACGCGAAGAGCCAGCCAGGCTTCCGAGGCAGCTGGCCCGGCCCCGGGCTCCGCTGCGCCCTCCCCCCAGGCAGTGTGACCTTGGTTGGACGTTTGACCTGTGCGGCCCTATGTTCTCTCTTGTGCAAAGGCTGTGGTGGTCTTTTCTTCAGTCGCTCTTGAGGCATAGGGGTCAGCGTCGGTGGCGCCCCCTGCGGCGTCGGCGCTCGTTCGGTGTGGGCTCGGTAGTACCGTTTGAAGTCAACCTTGAGAAGCTGCCAAAGGGTCCCCGTACCTGTGGCGGGAGGGCAGAGGCGGCCCCCTGCAGCTTCCCTCGGCGCGCCCGGGTCCTCCTCACTCTCCCGCCCTGGGGGAACCGCGGGGACGGCCCGCCGCCCCGGCCGTAGGTGTGGGCTGAGGCCGTGCAGCGCGGCGGCCGCCGGGTGGGCTCTCGAGGTGTCTGTTGGATTCCTGTCCGAGTTTTGATCGTTTACTGCGTGACTTTGGGAAAGTTAACGTTACCTTAGTGCCCCCGAGTTTTCTCATCAAAAGATGGGAATAACAACTGTCTCACGCGCTTGTCTGGAAGCGTAAATGAGATGATAGTGTATTTATAGAAGAATAAATGATATAAACCCATTTACATTTGTCAGTCTAGAGCCACTGCTTATGTTTTCTGTAGTTGGGAGAGATTTTTGTTTGTAGTTTTTTGCCCCCGCCCCGGTTGCTATTTTGCCGCAGTCACCTTGCTTATTTAGCGCAGTCAGGCAGGCAGTATGCGAGAGGGAAAAAAAAATGAGCAGGCTAAGGCCTTAAGCGCCTTAGGCTTTGTGGGAGGGGTCAGTCCACTATCCTGCCTGGGCCTTTATAGACACTAAAATGCATTATGCATAAGAGTTCTTTAGATATTTTATTATGATCTAAGAGTTTTCTTCTATTATTATATTATCTACCAAGGATAAGAATTACCATGGCTTCCAGTGCTTTGACGAAACCTCAGATGCGCGGCCTTTTGGCCAAGCGCCTGCGATTTCATATTGTTGGAGCATTCATTGTATCCCTGGGGGTTGCAGCTTTCTATAAGGTATGTATTTGTTTTTTACTTTGTGCTTATGGTCCAAATATGTGTGTTTTGAGTTAAAAAGTGTACTTCATTTTCATAAGCAGTTCAGTCTTTATAAAGAAACCCCGTCTTTAATATGCTCCCTTCCTCTTACCTTTCTCCCCACTTTCCTCAGTGTGGCAGGAAAGTACCTCATATTCCCCTGGTAGCTTGTCCTCCATCTTTAAATGAAACCGTGTTATTTTGCCAAAGCTGGTGTAACAAATTTCCACAAACTGCAGGTCTTAAACAATAGAAATTTATTTTCTGTTATGGAGGCTAGGCATTCCAGATCAAGGTGGCTGCAGGGTTGATTTCTTTTGAAGCCTCTCTCCTTAGTTTGTGGATGGCTTTCTTCTTTTCTCTTCACATTGGTCCCCTGTGTGTTAGTTAGCCTGTCATTGTCTAAATTTCTTCTTAGGAGGATGCTTAGTCATAATGGCTTAGGGCCCACCCCAAAGACCTCATTTTAACTTAATTACCTCTTAAAGACCGTATCTCCAAATACTGTTATATTGTTGAGTTACTATGGAGTTAAGACTTCAATACATGAGTTTGGGGAGTTACAGCTCAGCCTGTAAAACAGACTGTAATTGCTTTTTCAATAAAGGGATGGGAAAGGCAGTAGTAGTGTTTGGTATCTTGGATAATTGTTGCCACAGAATTGCTTTTTAACTCTGCCTTCTGTGGATTTTAAGGTTATGCCCTTTGGTTTTTTAAAATAAATTTTATTGTGATTAAGTACACATAACAAAATTGAATCATTTTTAAGTGTATAGTTAAGTGGTATTAAAAACATTGAAAATGTGCAACCATCACTACCAGCCATTTCCATAATTGTCTTGATCTTGTAAAACTGTAACTCAGTACCCGTTAAAAATAACACACTTCCATTTCCTACTTTCTCCCCCTCTCCCACACTGACTTACAGCCCATGGAACCACAATTCTACTTCCTATATCTGATTTGACTACTCTAGGTACCTCATGTAAATGGAATCATACAATATTTGTTTATTGTAACCGGCTTATTTCACTAGCATAATGTCCTCAGGGTTCATCCATGTTGTAATGTCAGAATTTCCTTTTTATGACTTAATAATCCATTATATTTGTTTACCACATTTTGCTTATTCATTCACCTTTGATGGACACTTCTGTGGTTTAGCTGTTGTGAATAATGTTGCTATGAACATGGATGTACTGAAAGATTCACTTTCAGTCTGTGTCTTTGGATCTGAAGTGAGCCTGTTGTAGACAGCATATAGTTGGATTATGTTTTTACCCATTCTGCCAGTCTCTTGTCCTTTGATTAGAGAGTTTAATCCATTTACATTTAAAGTACTCATTGATAACAAGGGACCTTTCTTCTATCATTTTACTGTTTTTTTCTTTATGACTTGTAGTTTTTTGTCCTTCATATCCTGCATTTCTGTCACTTTTTGTGCCTAGGTGATTTTTGTAATGAAATGTTTAAATGACTTTCATTTTCTGTTGTGTGTATTCTTTAGTGCTTTTCTTTGTGGTTACCATGGGGAGTACATTTAACATCCTAAAGTTATAACACTAATTTGAATTAATATGACATTAACTTCAATAACATACAAAGACTTTACTCCTTTATAGCTCTGTCCCCAATCCTTTTAGTTGATGTCACTAAATTATATCTTTATATGTTGTATTCCCCAAAACATAAGTAATAATTCTTTTAAACAGTCTCTTAAATTATGTAAAAAACAACATGTGGAGTAACAGGTCAAAGTTACAGTAACACTAGTTTTCAGACTTAATGTTTTAAAAAGTTCATTAGTGCCTTAAATCATCTGGAAAGTAAAAAGTGGAGTTACAAACCATTATTAAATAATACGAGCTTTTATAATTGCCTGTGTATTTGCCATTATTGAGATCTTTATTACTTTGTATGGCTTCAAATTACTGTCTAGTGTCCTTTCATTTCTCCCAGAGGACTCCCTTGCAGGGCTGATGTAGTGGTAATGAATTACCTCAGATTTGTTTTTTTGGGAGTGTCTTAGTTTCTTCTCCCTCACTCTTGAAAAACTGTTTTGCTGGAGCTAGGATTCTTGGTTGACATTTTTTTCTTTTTATCACTGAATATGTCAGCCCACTACCTTCTGGCCTCTGTAGTTCCTGATGAGAAATCTGCTCAGAATTTAATTGAGGATCCCTTGTATGTGACTAATTGCATCGGTCTTGATACTCTGAAGATTCTTTTTATCTTTGGCTTTGAAGTTTATGTTCTGGTGTGGGCTTCTTTGAGTTCATCTTGTGATTCATTGAACTTTTTTGATGTTTATATTGATATTTTTCATTAAATTTGGGATAGTTCAGCCATTATTCTAGATGAGAGAATTCTCTGATGATGAGAGAATGTCTGATGAAATGTCTTGAGATCCTTGCTACCTGGCACATAGTGGGCATGAAATAAATGTCTGTCAGAGAAAGCATGGATGGATAAATAAAGTGGAGGTAAAGAGAGAACTCATTTCTTGACTCTGTCCTCATTGTCACGCTCAAAGTTCAGACCTTTGTAACTTTTTATATGGATTTTTGCTGCTTTTAACTGTTAGCTTCTAGAACAGAACTTCTTATGTCATGGGGCTACACAGTGCTCAGGGTACAGTGGCTTCCAAACTTTTGACCTACTGTAAGAATTAAGTATTGGCTACAACCTTCTAAATTGATTTCACCATTAACTACTGGGTTGTGGGCAACCTGCTAAAACTTAGTCTTGATTTTAAGACACTTTCTGATTTGCCCTCTGCCTTATCATCATCATCCTGATCAGTACTAATAATGCCCAGCTCTGTAGTCCTTCATAACTGTGTGCTGTTACCCAGTTCTACTATCTCCCATCCTTTTGTACATAACAGGAATCTTTTTCATTGTCTGGCAAATTCCAGTCCATCCTTCAAGGGCCACTCAAATGTTTTCCTCTTTGAAAAACATATTTTCCAAAGCCTAATTTTACAGATGTGTTGATTGTGGTCTGCTGGGTTCTCAGTTACTTTGTACCATACTATTTTACAGTATTGGGCACATTGTATTTTAAGTCATATTTGCTTTAGGGTCTGTCTCTGCTATGAAATTAAGAGCTGGGACCATGCCAGACTCATAGTCAGTGTCTTCTGAATGAAAAGAAAATAAATGCTTGGTAAATTAGAGTGCTTGTGTATAGTTATTAGTGTTTCATTGGAAGGAATCAGATTCTTATTGAAGAATAAGGCAGGTGTAAATTTGGTTCACTTTGTAGATGCTCTCCTCTTTCACTTACTCTATCCAGTTAGTGTTGAGTGCTTTTAAAGATTTGGCCTCTATTTTGTTTCTAGTTTTCACTTATTTTCACAATTTCAGTCAGCTTCTGTTTTTTACGTGAAGTAGTTCAATTAATCTGGTAAACCTAAATTCATGAATATGGTTTGGGTTTTAAGAGGCAAATGAATATAGTGCTTATCCTGAATGGGATTTGCCCACTAGGTTCACCATTTGCTGTCATATAAATTAGGATTGTCCTAAATTGTCAAGTATTTGCTTATATGTATAGGCCTCATGTATAGATTTTTTATGGCTTTTAAGTTACTGGTGATGTAGTAGACCTAAATTGATAATATTCTCTTGTTACTGAAGTCCAGATTTTTCAAACTTAAAAAAACCTAAAAATATATTTAAAAAATTCAGGCAACAAAATAATTTAGGTGGAATTATAAAATCCATTTGCTTTATTTCTTGGGTTCACTGAGCCTGCTACTTTCTCTCTGTCTTAGTATTTGATATTTAAAAAAATATATTTTTCTTGTTCTAACAAGAAATGCTTACAGTTGCCTTGTGGGTGATCGGCCCCTTCAGATCTCAGTTCATGGGGTTGCATTGGTGCTTCTTGCTAGTTGGTCTTACTGGAGGAAGTTGGGAGTTAAAATAAATGTAGTTAACACTGTTCAGGTTTATTAAGATCAAGCATCAAGTACCATGATGCCATATTTTTCTGCAGCACCTTAACTAATGTGGATTGGCACTTGAAGAATTATTACTGGTTTTTATTTGCAGGGTGGGATTTGGATTTCATTTATGAACCACACATTGAAATCCACCAGGCCATGTTTTGTGGAGAATAAAATATTTGCCGTATGACAGATTGGGGTTTGAATCCTCATTGAGCCACCTACCTACCAGTGGCAGACTTCTGACTAAACCTCAATAAGTCACTTAAACTCTTGAGTGAATTTCCTTATTGCAAAATAGATCAGTGTTTACACTAAGGACTTTAAGTGCTGTTGAAGTGTAAATTACCTAGGACTGTTCTTGCCATATAGGAAACTCACTGTGCCTTTCAGAGGCAAATGGTTACTGAATTTATCTCAAGACATCTTTGAGATTAATATTGTAACTTAATTTGGGCCTCCTTTTAGAAAAGTGTCTTAGATGTGGGGATACATAGGTTTTTCCTGGAGGGAAGGCTACTATCTATATTCTCCCTAAAATCTTTTAGCTTCTGGGTATCTTCCTTTGGCTCTTCCCAGTCTGCACATACACTTTCCCACCTCTCCCCCAAAATGTACACTCCCACACTCAACAAAAGGAATCATTTGTCCCTAGGCAAGGAAGACCCCTCTTGCTGAGTAGTTTCCCTGAAGTTGCTTTCTTTTTCCTTACATCTATGTCAACACCAGTCTTAGGAAATAAAGGGTTCAAGTTAAAGGTGAATACGAATATATTGTAATTTACATTGTCTTTATATACTGAGTTTCTAATAACCTAAAAAATAAGCCCTAATGGGATTTGTTACTTTTTAGTTTGCAGTGGCTGAACCAAGAAAGAAGGCGTATGCAGATTTCTACAGAAATTATGATTCCATGAAAGATTTTGAGGAGATGAGGAAGGCTGGTATCTTTCAGAGTGCAAAATGATTTTGGAATGTGAAGGTAATATGGCTGTTGCAGTTACTGTTTTCAGTTTAAATTGTGGCAAAATATACCTAACAAAATTTATACTGTCTTCACTATTTTTACATGTATAGTTCAGTATTAAGTACATTGACATTTTTGTATATACATTTTTGTTTCTCTAAAACTCTTTTCATCTTGCAAAACTGTACTCATTAAACAACTCCATTCCCCAGTGCCCCCAGCCTCTGGCAACCACCATTCTACTCTGTTTCTGCCTCTAGGTACCTCAGTAAGTGGAATCATACAGTATTGGTCTTTGTGTCTGGCTTATTTCACTTAATGTAATGTTCTCAGGGTTCATCCATTATAGCATGTGTCAGTTTCCTTCCTTTCTAAGGCTAAATAGTATTCCATTTTTTGTATATACCACATTTTGCAAATTTTTTCATCTTTGATGGACTTTTGAATTGCTTCTACCTTTTGACTATTGTGAATTAATGTTGCTATGAAGTGTGCAGATATCTCTTGGAGATAGTGCTTTCAATACTTTTGAATATGTATCCAGAAGTGGAGTTGCTGTTCTATTTTTAATTTTTTAAGGAACTGCCATGCTGTTTTACATAACAGCTGCACCATTTTACAACAGTGCATAAGGTACCAATTTCTTCACTTGTTTTCTGGTTTGTTTGGGTTTTTTTGGGTAGTAGCCATGGGTGTGAGGTGGTATCTCATTTTTATTTTGATTTGTATTTCCCTAGTGATTAATGATGTTGAGTATCTATTACTGTGCCTGTTGAATGTTTGTATATCCTCTTTGGGGAAATATCTAAGCTCTTTGCCTGTTCTGATTGGGTTGGTCTTTGTTGTTGAGTTGTAGGCATTCTTTAAACTCCTTATGACATAAATAATTTGCAAATATTTTTTACCATTTTGTAGATTGCCTTTTCACTCCTTTGATTGTATCCTTTGATGCACAGACTTTTAAAATTTGGATGGAGTCTAGTTGATGTAATTTTTCTTTTGTTGCTTTTGCTTCTAGTGTAAGACCCAAGAAATCATTGCCAAATCTGGTGTCATAAAGCTTCTGTTGTATTTTCTTCTAAGAGTTTTGTAATTTTAACTCTTACCTTTAGGTCTTTTTTGAGTTAATTTTTAGATATGATGTAAGGGAAGGGACCAGCCTTGTTCTTTGGCATGTGACTGTCCAGTTTTCCTAGCTGCATTTGTTGAAAAGACTGTCCTTTCCCCATTAGATGATTGGCACTGGCACCTTTATTGGTAACTTTTTACCTGTGTATGTGAGGCTTTGTTTTGGGCTATATTCTGTTGCAGTGGCTTATATTTCTTTATGTCCCTACCAGAATATTGTGACTTCTGCAGCTTTATAGTAAGGTTTGAAATCAGGAAGTGTTAGTCCTCCAACTTTGTCTTCTTTCTCAAGATTATTTTGAGTGGTCAGGGTCTCTTGATAATCCATGTGAATTTTAGGGTGAGTTTTTCTACTTGTGCAAAAATGCTGATAGGGATTGTATTATATATGTAGATTCAGGTAGTATGGACATCTTAACAATTGTAAGTATTCCAATCCATGAATATGAAATGTCTTTCCATTTATTTGTATCTTTCAGCAGTGTTTTGTAGTTTTCCATATAAATGGCTTTTGCCTCCTTGATTTCGTTTATTCCTAATTATCTTATTGTTTTGATGCTCTTATAATTGAAATTATTTTCTTAGTTTTCTTTTCTGATTATTGATTGTTAGTGTACAGAAAAACAACTGACTTACGATTTTGTGTCCTGCAGCTTTCCTGAGTTAGTTTATTCTGTTTTTTTGGTGGTCTTTAGGGTTTTCAGTGTATAAGCTCAGGTCATGTGCAAACAGATACTTATACTTCTTCCTTTCCAGTCTGGATGTATTTTTTTTTTCTTGCCTAATTGCTCTTGCTAGGACTTCCAGTGTGATGCTGAATGGAAGTGGTAGGAGCAGCAGGCATCTTTGTGTTTTCTTGATCTTAGAGGAAATACATTCAGTCTTTGATCATTGAATATGAAATAGCTCTGGGCTTTTCATATATGGCTTTTATTATGTTGAGGTAGTTTCCTTCTTTGCTGAGTGTTTTTATCATAAAACGATATTGAGTTTCTCAAATGCTTTTTCTGTATCAGTTGAGATGATAAATAATATGGTTTTTGTTCTTCTGTTGTGTGTGACATTGATTTTTGTAAGTTAAATCATCCTTGTATTCCAACAAGAAACCCCACTTGGTCATAGTATATAATCCTTTCTGTGAGCTGTTGAATTCTCTTTGCTAGTATTTTGCTAAGGATTTTTGCATCTATATTCATCAGGGATATTGTTCTATAGTTTTTTTGTATTATCTTTATTTGGCTTTAGTATCGGTAATGCTGGCCTTGTAGAATACTTTGTATTCTTTAATGAGATATGGGCAATCAGGTGTGGCTTTAAGAGGAGACATAGGAGAGGCTGTGGAAGATATGGTAGGGGCAATCTCCTAGACATCAAGTATATTTTAATATATAGAAAATAAAAATATATACAATAAATAGAGTGAATTTGGCAGTGTTCCCTCCTCTTCAGTTTTTTGGGGAAGAGCTTGGTGGTATTTCTTTTTTTAAATGTTTGGTAGAATTCACCTGTGAAGCCATGTGGTAGTGGCTTTTCTTTGTTGGAAGGTTTTTGATTGCTGATTCAATGTCCTGATTCAATGTCCTTACTAGTTCTGGGTCTGTTTATATTTATATTAAGTGTTCCTGATTCATTTTTTGGTTGTGTGTTTCTATGAATTAATCTGTTTCATTTCAGTTATCTATCTTGACTCACAGTTTTTTATGGCCCTCTCCTATAATCCTTTTCATTTCTGTGAAATCACTTATAATGTCCCCTTTCATTTCTGTTTTTAGTAATGTGAGTAATTCTCCCTTGTATTTCTGTCTAGGTTTATCAGTCTTATTGACCTTTGCAGATAACCACGTCTTGATTTTGCTGATTTATCTCTATTGTCTTTCTGTTCTCTATTTTGTTTATTGCTATTCCTTGTTTCCTTATTACTGCTAGCTTTGGGTTTAGTTTGCTTTTTCTAGCTTTCAAGGTGTTGTTAACCTTAGGTTGTTGATCTGAGATCTTTTTAAATTTCCCTTGTGATGTCCTCTTTGATCCATTGGTTGTTGAAGTGTTTATTAATTTCAACATTTTTGTGGATTTTTCTCTTTTCCTTCTGGTATTCTAGTTTCATTCCATTGTGATCAGGAAAGAGATACTTTGTATGATTTCAATCTTTTAAAATCTATTGTCTTGTTTTGTGGCCTACCATATGACCTGTCCTGGAGAATGTTTTATATGCACTTGAGAAAAAATGTGTGTTCTGTTTTTGGGTAGAATATTTGGTGTTTGTCTAATAGGTCCTGTTGGTCTATAGTGTTTTCAAGTCCTCTGTTTTCTTAATGATCTGTCTGGCTCTTCTAACTGTTACAGTAATCCTCCCTTATCCACAGTTTTGTACATCCAAGGTATAGTTACCTGAGGTAAACCATGGTCCAGAAGCGCATGAGTCTTTTTCAGACATATCTTCAGAAGGTCAGTAGTAGCTTTATGCTGTGTCACAATGCTTATATCATCACTTCCCTTCATCTCATCATGTAGGCACTTATCATTTCACATCATAACAAAAAAGAAGGGTGAGTACAGAACAATAAGGTAATTTGAGAGAAAGAGATCATATGCACATAACTTACTAGAGTATAATTGTTCTATTTTATTGTTAATCTCTTACTGTGCCTAATTTATAAGTTGAACTTTATCATAGGTACATTATGTATAGGGGAAAAAAAAGTATATAAAGGGTTCAATACTATCCATGGTTTCATGGCTCTTTTTGTGACCTAGTATGGGATCTGTTCTGGAGAACGTTCCATGTACACTTTAGAAAAATTTGTACCCTGCTGCTTTTGGGTGGAATGTTCTATAGATATCTGTTAAGTCCATCTGTCTAATGTGTTGTTCAGTTCTTCTGTTTTTCTTATTTTCTGTCTGGTTATCTGTCCATTGATGTAAGTGGCATGTTAAAATCTCTAAATATCAATGAGTTGCAGTCAGTTTCCCTCTTTAGTTCTGTTAGTATTTGTTTTACATATTTAGGTGCTTCTGTGCTGGGTGCATAGGTATTTATAATTGTTGGATTCATCCCTATATCAATATATAATGTCCTTTGTCTGTTGTTACTTTATTTTGAAATCTATTTTGTTTGATACAAGTACTGCTACTCTTGCTTTTTGCATGAAATATGTTTTTCCATCCCTTCACTTTCAGTCTATGTCTTTAAGTCTGAAATGAGTCTCCTATAGGCAGCATATAGAGGGTTTGGTTTCTTTATGCATTCTGCCACCCTGCGTTTTTTTATTGGTGCATTCAGTCCATTTACATTTGAAGTAATTTTTGATAGGTATGTACTTATTGCCATTTTATAAATTGTTTTCTAGTTGTTTTTATAGTTCCTCCCTGTTCTTTCTTCCTTTTATACTCATCTTTTGTTTTATGGTGGTTTTCTTTACTGTTGTGATTAAATTTCTTTTTAAAAAATACTTTCTGTGTATCTATTATAGGCTTTAGGTGGTTGCCAGAAGGTTCATGAATAGTTAACTATATAACAATCTAGTTGATGATTGCTCTATACCAAACACAATCTGAAAGTACTTTTTAGTACTCTTCCTTTTCCACACTTTATGTACTAGATGTCACAATCTGAATATTTTGTGTATCCCTTGACTGATTTTGTGTATAGTTGGTTTTACTACTTTTGTTTTAATTTCATACTTGCTTGGTAAGTAATTGGCTTACTGCCTTTACTGTGGGATTATTTTCACTGGTGAGAAATATTTAGGCTTAGGAACATCCACCTACAGAAGTCCCTTTAGCGTATTCTGTAATGCTGGCTTAGTGGTTATAAATTCCTTCAGCCTTCATTTTTCTGGGAAATTTTTAATCTTTCCTTCAATTTTTGAATGATAACCTTGCTGGGT